GGCTGGATTCGAACCCACCAGCTCAGGTGTATGTGGCTAGCGCCTTAGCCACTTGAGCCACAGGTGCCGAGCTGCATCTGGCAATTTCAAGTCAAAATATTGTTTTCTAAAATTGTCTGTTCTTTTCTCCTCCATCCCCTTCAGTAAGGTTCTGTCATACATTTGTAATACAATTAGATTCATTTGCCACAATTTGCATGCCATTTTGTGTTACCCCAATGGCCTGGTTAATGTTTAAAAATTTGCATACAATAACTGTCCTTTTTTGTGGTACATAGTTTTTGTGTTTTGACAAATGCATATTGTCATGAAGCTACTACCACAGGACCATACAGGATAGCTTCCTATGAAATCATCCTAAAAATTTCCTTGTGCAGCCCCTTTATAGTAAACTCCTCTCCTTTCCCAAACTTGGCAACCACTGAACTATTTCCTATCCCTACAATTTTGCCTTTTCCAAAATGTCTTATAAATGAAATCATACAATATGTAGACGTTTAGGCCTAACTTCTTTCATTTAGCAAAATGAAGTCAAAATGTGTCCATATTGTGTGAACCAGCAGCTCACTCTTTTTTACGGTTGAATGTGGATAAACTCATGAAACGGATACCCACAGTTTGTTTATCCAGTCACCTGTTGAAAGACATCTGGGTCATGTCTAGTTTTTGGCAATTATGAATGAAGCTATTATGAATATCCATGTATGGGCTTTTGTGTGAATGTAAGTTTTTAATTCACTTGGGTGAATTCTTAGTAATGAAACGGCTGGGTCATATGTTATGTTTATTCTTATGAGAAACTGCTGAACAGTTGGTAAAAGCGGCGGTTATGCTTGGCAATCCCATTGGCAACAAGTGGGAGTTCCTTTTGTTCCGTGTCCCCACCAGCATTTGGTTGTCCACACTCTTTTTATTTATTTTTATTTATATATTATTTTTTTTAGAGACTTACTTAGATTCTCACCTTAGAGAGACTTTATTTATTTATATATTATTATTTTTTTAGAGACTCACTTAGAGTCTCACTTTGTCACCCTTGGTAGAGTACGGTGGCATCACAGCTCACAGCAACCTCCTGCTCTTGGGCTTAGGCGATTCTCTTGCCTTAGCCTCCTGAGTAGCTGGGATTACAGGCACCCGCCACAATGCCTGGTTATTGTTTTGTTGCAGTTTGGCTGGGGGTGGGCTCGAACCTGCAACCCTACTTACTGAGCCATAGGTGCCGCCCTCCACACGCTTTTAAAAATGGCGATTGCTCACCCATCCCACCCCGACTTCTTCCTTCCTTCCTTTTGGCCTCTTCCTGGATTATAAAATAATCCATACCCTTGCTTTGCAGCTTGATGGTAAAAGTGAAGTTAGTGATCTAGACTATTCCTACTTCCACTGCACACTAATGTACTTTCCTGTTTTTTATTTCCTAATAGTTCTATACGGCAGTTTCAGCAAACATTTGTAGGTTGGTATGAGAGATAAATAGCACCCAGCTTGAGAAGAAGTCCTCTGCTTTTATGTAGCCTCTTAGTTCCCCGCTCATCTCAGCCTCTTTTCAGCTTACCAAGTAAACCCATTGAAATACTAGAGTGATCAAGACTCTTCATTAGACTCTGCAGTGGCTAAGGATCTGGCAGGAGAGGCCACTTCATGTGGCGTTCCAGCCAGATAACTGGATTCTAATTCATGAGGAAGGCACTGAGTGCCAGGCCCCTGCTCAGAGTCCCCGCTGCCTAACTTGGCAGGTAGCACATTCTCATAGTCATGAGAGTCCTCATTTGACATCTCTTCTCTGTGTTTTGTCTGACTGTCCTCACTCGGTGTAGATGGCTGAAAGGCTACATAATCCTCTGAAACCAAGAGGCTTCTTCTGACAGGTTGGATGCGGGTACCTGGACCATCTGTCCTGTCCTCAACATGGCCTGTGTTTGAGGATGTTGCTGTGTCTTCAGCCTGCCGTAGACTCCCACTGAGATCTGCTGGTGGGACATTTTCATAGTCTCTGCAGCACTGAAAAGTCACCCAAGGCTGCTTCTCCTCAGAGACCCTAAGATCCAACCCTGTCATATTGACATAGTCATTTGAGGCCTGAGAAGAACATTCCCCGTCACTGAATGGCTCACTCTCCTCAGTTCCTGGAGACCAAAAACTGGTGCAGTTACCAGCATTCCCACACCTCTCATCTCTTTCTTCAGTAAAATCCAGCTCCTGGGCACTTGGAAGAACAAAGAGATCACCAGAAGGGCTGTTGGTAGAAGCTAGAGTCTCAGCAATCTCTTCTGCGGTGGGGACATTGATATAATCGTGTGAATCTCCTGAAGAAATGCTTGTGCAGTCTCTGGAAGCTCTGACATGGATACAGTGTGCCAAGGGAGCGAGGTTCCCACACACCTGGGGCACCGTGGCATTGTCATAGACACCCACTGAGTACTCCATGGCATGGATGTAGGCTTGACGCACCTGGGAGGCACTGTCTGCTTCAAAATACTACGAGGAAGAAGAGAAAGCCAGTGATAGGATGGAAGCAGAAATATGGACAAAAGCCTTTCTTTCTGGCACAGTCCCACTGGTATAGTTCCTTCACTCAGTTCCCTAGCTTGGAGAAAACCTCTAAATCAGGGGTCCCAAACTGCAAGACTCTTTGTACCAGGTATGTATGAGTGCAGTGGGCTGAATTTAAGAAGAGCAGCATATAAATGTGTTGGTAAATTGCAACTGGTTTTTGGCCACAATGTGGGGATTCAATGCAGTGTAGGGAGAAAGTATTACAAAATGCAGAGA